ATACTAAACTTTCATGAGGACCTATTACCTCCCTAGACTATTTAATACCGTATTTTTTACCCCCTGAACTATTTAATAGTGTATATTTTAAAGGTATATATGTGCCCACGTGGACACATTATTATTTATAATTTTGTATTGTTTTTTATGTCCACGTGGACAAATATATATGTTTAAAATACGGTATTAAATAGTCTAGGGAGGTAATAGGTCCTCATGAAAGTTTAGTATTGCAACATCAAATTCGACCAAAGTTGAGGTATTTTGCAGACCATTATCCCTTAATAAAATATAAGTTACCTTATCAATTATATACTTTTTAAAAATTTCATAAATAACATTTGATTTTCCTGATCAATACAAGAGGTTATATGAATTTGAAGTAAAATACTAATAGACCTTCGTCGCTCTCTTTTTTTTTTCCTCCCTTTCTCCCAGCTCATTTTCTTCCTTTTGGCCACACTAATAAATTCTCAAAAAGATTTACATCTCCTTCACTAAATTTGGTTATTAATTTAATTGAATGATTTTATAATGAAAAATGCTTTATCTATCTCAATTTATATGAATCACTTTTTTCTTTAATCAATCTAAAAAAGAATGACGCATTTCTATTAACAATTTAACTTTAAAATACTCATTTTTTCATTAATAAAATGATTTATAACCACATAAATATTTATCACTCATTTTAGACCCTAAATTTTACAAATCTTTATTCATTTCTTAAATTTTGTATCAAGTCAAACTAACTCGAGAGAGTGAGTATTTCACTTTGTACTAAACACCACCCAAATGCATCATATACTAAAAAAAAAACACCAATGATGTATTATAACTTACTAAAGTTCAAGGACAATACCTACTAAAATCTCTCTGCCGAAAAAAAACCACTACAATTGATGGAATATATATATATATATATATATTGTGAATCCAAAAGTGTTAAGATTTGACACCACTAATTTGACACAGTAAAGTACCTTACATAACATGGTGTCAACTGTGTGAGACATAAAAAGGTTCTCCTCTGAACTCTTTATTTTACATTACCCTGCATTCTTTTCATTACATTAGCTTTGTGGGACGTGAGATTTTGAACTTTAGTGATTCAAACTATAGAAATTTGTTAAATGAAAAATTGCAAAGCACCCCAAGGAAATGAATCCTAATTATGGTGTGTATGCTGCCGTTGCCGGATGATCTCTCCGGAGTTGCCGGCACTTAGAGACGCCGGAATATATTGCCGACAAGAATATATATTGAGATTTTTCTTCATGACTAGTATCCTTACAATAGCATCGCTCCCCTCGCAGTTCAATAAAAGAAAAACACTGCCACTCCAGAAAGCCAATAACAAGTTACAGATGATGCAACAAGAGTAAAGTGGGACAGCCATTCATCAACGGGTTTGATTTTTTCCAGCAAAAAACAGGAGCAACTGGCTCTTTCTACTTTGCCAAGCAATTAGAACAAACATCTGTGGGTTAAAAACAAGGCAGCATTTCCTAATCAACAGGTTAATAGAAATACTTCAAATCATGCCCCTATGAAAATTCCAGTGCTAAATCAATTCCATCAGATATACCTCATACTAATGGATTTACTTTAATTCCCCCAAGCCTCATCCTAATTATTTTTTCCTGTCAAGCCACTCCAAATAAGCCTAACAGAAATACAAGTAGGAAGGAGAGAAGAAATGATGATTGCACCGGTGCCAATTCTAGCAGTTCCTGGAAGCTCTACAACAGAATCCCAACTTAGCAGTTCCTGGAAGCTCTACAACAGAATCCCAACTATATACAACCGCATGCTCTGGAGTGGTGGTGGAGATGCTGCACGGTAGGGGGCAATAGCTTAGCCGATACATACTTAACAAATGCCTCCACATGGTATAAACAGATTGAATGCAGCAGTCCAATAGCCAAGTCCCTCCCTGAATGTCCCATTCAAGGAGCAGCTATGATCAAGTTAGAAGAGAGTGCACTCTCGGATGAGATAACATTTCATCTGTTAAGATGCCACACTATACATCGTCCTTCCCACTCAAATCAGTACAGAAGGGGCAAGCTTTGAAGCCACTTCTGCTTCAGCAACCGTGGCTACTCTCATCATGAGAGGCAAACTCATCAAACGATCTTTGCAGCACAAGCAGCAGAACATAGACTAATAATTGCCAACCTGGACCTTTTTAAGGAGATGTTTTCCAGTCAAACTGCAGGTTGTTAAAACCATTGACTGCTTCTAGACCACTTAGCAGTTGGTTTCCCAGATCTTGTTGTTGTTGACTCATATTGCGTTCTCTCACCATTGTCATGCCCACTAACCCATTCATGGCTGAAGGGTTATAACCCAATACAGCTCGAATTCCATTAACCATTGCAGCTTGGCCCAGTCCATTGTTCATACTCCCAAATCCAGAAACAACACCTGTACTGTTAGCATTGGCTGTCCCATTCCTAACAAGGCAATTGCTTCCACTGAGAAGGGAATTATTACTTGTAGCCAACATCCCATGCCCATTTTTTATATCATTCCCAATCATACCATTACCTACCATGCCGCCACCACCGAGCTGTGAAGACATCATCATTTCATGTATAATCTTTTGTACAGAACTCTGAGAGTCATTACCATCCACCTCACTTGAATGGGCTGGTTGCTGAATTGAGATTTTTGGGGAATTCGCAGAGTTCATATGTTGCACTGATGATAAACCACTGTGTGAAGCTTGTGGTGGATTGTTGGATGACGATGGTGTTGGAGGATGGAATTGAGAAGAGTTGGGTTGAGACTGAGGCATTATACTTGAAGAATTGGGTGAAGGCATTTGGACAGCATTTCCTGAGTAGGTACTACTTCCACCATTCACTGGATTTTGTTGCCTGGGGTTCATGGAATTTTGGTGCAGTAGTCCAACAACAGTACCACTAGACGAAGTAGCAGGTACTTGGTTCACAGAGTTGTTAACATTCGATATACCATTGCTCAAAGGTAGTGGCAGTACACCAGGCTGTGAAGTTGTCTCATGGTTCGAGCTACTGATTGTTTGATGTGTATGTTGCTGCTGCTGCTGCTGTGGCTGTTGAGTCTGATCCTCAGTTGATTGAACTGGACCTTGTACTCCAGCTGAAGATCCATTCCTACGAGGAAACTTAGCCAAGCTCTCTGTAAAATTAAGAGTTGGGCACAATGTGAACTGTAAGAATAACATGTAAAAGATAAACGCCACGACAGATAATCAAATACTATATGAAAATAAATAAAAAAGTTCATCACGTGCAAGTTGAATATCTACCCCAAATTATCGATTTAGCACAAACAAAAATGGTCCACTGACATATGACGCATCATAGGTTGAGAGGATAACACTGGGACAAACATAAAAATTGATTAATGATAAGTTGAGCACCCACTCATTTACCCCACAAATTAAATTTTGTTAGATTACCACTTGAACCTCATGAATGATGGGGAAACACTTGACCACTTATCTGGTCTTCCGGAATTTAAATGTTACAGCAAACTCCTAAGTACAAAGAGGTAGCACTAAGATATAAAACACCAAATCCTCATTATTGAAAACGACTGTACACAAAATCCAGAATGCCACTAGGAATAGTGATATATTTCGGGGTAAAAGAGAAATTGATAAGAAATTCAGGGGTAAACTGTGCTACTGGATCAATGAGCACCAGCGAGCAAATTAACTATACATTATGTCCAATATAAAAGTGATCCTTAGTTTGCAAGAGTTGAGTGTCCTCTCTAGTCACCCACATTCATGCATATTGCAAGGCTCAAGCTATTACATGACAGTTATATTACCATATTGTGAGGCTCAAGCTATTACATGACAGTTATATTACCAACAAATTTGACTAAAGATGCCACGGAATCTGCTTTGCATCATGGATTCTCTACTCAGATATGATGGTTTCTATTTTCCATCCCCAGAAGCAATTTCATGGTATGAGTAAAATTTACTTCAAATGGCAAATCTTCTTTCTTTTGCTCCCCCTTAATTTGCTCTCTTTTTTTTTTTTGGTTGGCTAAGAAATCCGTTGTTTCATCTTAGAAACTCAGGATAATGATCCTAATCCTCTCTATATAAGTGTCATTCTTTACTTATCAAAAGAAGATAATGGGCCTAATTCTCTACAGTTCACCTTAAACCAAACTTGGAGCAACAGTAGCCTACCACATCTCGTGTTGTACAATCTTTCCCATTGAACCAAAATCCTGGGACACCTTTAAATGACAATCAGATGCCTCTTTGTGAAATACATTCTGATCTACACAACACTAGCTAGATAATGTCTCGAAAAACGTACGATCTCTTAGAATGTATGTGGGGCTTAGCGAAAATACGACATAACGGAAGGAAAAAAAAATCTTCTAATGACTATCAATTAGTTGTCAATAAGCTATGTTAGTAGGCTTCTTTAGTTCCGCTATTTCCTTTTCCTTGAACTGAGGGATACAGGAAACAGCCTCTTTACATCCCAAGGTAGGGGGGTTAAGGTCTGCGTATGCTCTACCCTCCCCACACCCCACTTGTGAAATTACATTAGGTATTTTGCTGTCGCTGTATACAACACTAACTCACAGGAAAACAACCCCAACTATCCTCCTATTTTAAAGAGACATTGGTTTGTCACAAGGTCGGTAAATTTGAACTGTGATGTAAGGAACTATAGAAAGGTTAAGTCGGTTGAACTTACCCATGGGTCCAGTCCCTGTTTCCCTGCTATAGTCGATCAAATCTTTCATGCTATTAACCACTTCCGAAATCTGCAATCCACCAAGAACACAACACATCCATAGTTAATCACAAGCCTCTTTTAATTGAACAAGTATTATAAAACAAGCAAAACATTATTTGACCAGATGTTATCACACAAAAGCAGCTTTATATTTGGTTCCAAAATTAACGATTATAGAACATTTGAGAAGTAAATAAACTGAATTAGAAGAACCTAAAACCAAAAAACCTTGAGTTACCGCTAGAACAAACATTTTTTGAATGAATTCAATTTCTGAAAGAAAGACAAGAATTACCAACAGTTGGAAAACATTACACCACATATTTGTATCCAAGAGAAAAGCTGAAGCATTATACATGAGTTAATTACACGCGTTATCAAAAGGAATTTTCAAAATCCACAACATTGACAACCATCTATAACCTGCTGGCTGTTAAGAGAATTGAATTTGTCTCCGTTTTCAAGTCTGCTCTGAAAACAGAGGAACGACATATGGAAAGAAATCAACTGAAGACAGGTCGACAGAACTAATTGACTTTTAAATCAGACATAAAAAGAGAAATGCATAAGCTGGCCAAGACACTTAATAATTAACCTGCATAAGGGACAGAAAAGGGAGAGGGGCCTAAATCATTTACTAACGGAACTTCCAAAGCTTTTGCTAACTGACGAGCTGAAGCAACAAACCTGAAGCGCAATTAGAAGTCAAAAAACTCACACAACTAAAGCTAAATAAAGGAACACATGATGGTAGCAGCTACACAATCTTAATAAAATCTCAAGAATCAAGGAATCTCTAAACATAACTTCACAACTGAATGTTTACATGGATCACTTGTGACTTTTTCAAAGGGCTTGCATATCTTTACATTCGCTTGCCCCACCACCTCAAACCACTACCCACAGCTCCTGATTAATGTTAATTCCATGGGAAGAATATTTATTCCTCTCCCTTTTGGTAGGACCAGACACCATATGACATACCTAGCTCCTACCCCACCCCCCACACACACGTCACCATAACACTGAAGCGAACTAATTGGAGAAGTTGGATGAGCATGAGAGGACTAGAATTTAAATCAACACTCACGTGGGTCACAGTCAACATCCTCAACCCACACCCCAAAACCATGACACTCCGAAGTTCAACTTTCGATTTAACAAAAAAAATTGTATGAAAAGAAGGTAGACAGCCATGCACCTAAACACACCATTGTGGTAAAATATTTATTTACTAGACATTCATACTCATGTTTAAAGAACTTGAGCTTCTAAGGTTCAACAGTATGACAAATTGACCATATTCCATTACACCAAATTCTAAGCTACCTCATCCAACAATGGTAGACAAGAAAATGTGTACCTGGTAAATCATTGAATCAAAATGACAGTAAGTTTCAGCTTTAAGAAAGTTATTGGATTGCCAAAAGCTTACTAGGGCAACTCATTGGTAGAACATCTTACCTTAGCATGGAGAGGCTAACCTAAGCTAAAAAAAAGCGGGCAACAGCACCAGTAAAGACCACAAAAGCTCAATGCCAAAAACAGAGCTATATAAAATGTCAATTACGAATAGATCCTATCTCATCATCACTGCCCACTAATGACGGCGATCTAATAATTGACCACGACTACCTCTTAATAAAGAGGATTAGATATTTAAATAGAAATTGCTAGGTAAAAACTACCATTAAACAAAGTTAGTCTAATGCTGACCTCTTAAAAAAGAGGGTTAGATATGCTAAATAGAAATTGTAATGAAACAAAACCATCAAACAAAGTTATGGAACATTGCCAACCCAATACTTGGAATAAACACCTTAATGTAAGTATCTGACTTACATATTGCAATTAACCTGCAACTCAGAAACAGACGCACTAGATGATGCATTTTGGGTGGCGGCCTGGTACTTTTGAGCTGCAGCACCCAGATGACTAACCTGTACAGGTACAGCATATCAAAACAATAAAAGGCAAATCAGAAATGATTCAATAGCCCCCTACCTTATATGCAACATCAACTTTCAAAGCATATATGCTAAAACAACTAGATGCCACAGAAGTACGATCAAACGCAATAAATTGAGAACTGCTTCAAAGAGACATCCTGAAGTAGAAAACCAGATCCATTCACCATAAGTGTTATCAAAAGCGCAAAAAAGCTCTAAAGTTCGTTGGGGATTTAAGCGCAAATAAAGTGTGGGCTTTATTGAGAAAAAGCGCAAATGGAGAAGATATATATATATATATATATATTATATATATATATATATATGTTAACGGACCCAGTATTGTCATTAGGGGTGTCGATGGTTGGAGAAAAAATATAATTATGAGATTAGTAGGACTATAACACACAACCTCAAGGAATTTTCACAACACCGTAACCACTAGACTAAACCTTTAACTTGTGTTAAGAGGTGTCAATACTTGTATTTATATTGATTAAACCAAAATTTGACCTCTATATACAAAGTAATTTTCCAACGAAGGGGTGTCGCTTGACACCCCTTTCTGCCCCTGTATAGTCCAAGACTAATAATTATAAGCATGAATAAAGAAATATATAGACAAAGAAATTTATTGCTTTTACGATAAAGTGAAATGTCAATGGTTTAGCAACGCCTCTTCAGAAAATGCTCATTCACAAAGAAAAGTGTGTCTTAGATCCTTGATGACGACACTGAAGCGCACATTAAGAGAGGTGAAGTACTCAACGCGTTTTGTGCCTTGCTTCAAGGCTTAAGCGCACTTGAAACGTGCCTTTGATAACACTGGTCATTGTGCACAAGATCTCTTAAAATATTGTACCAACTGCCTAAAAGAGAGATTTATACTCACGCATGTATACAAGTATCAATTTCATATATGTGTACACACACATGCACACACTTATATACAAGTTCTTCAATGGACCTAATGTGTGTACCAAAACATGAAAAGCAACATGAAAAACCTACATCTACGTTGCTCAAACTCTTCAAAAATGTCAATCGGTGCGTGTCGGATTCTCCAAAAGTAGTACATTTTTGGGGATACAACATGAGTGCAACATCGAAATTGAAGAGTCCATGCAACTTAGAGTTACGGAACAAAAACCAATTGATCTATTAACATGCATACTTAATTAGATGTCACCTTCAAATCAAACGCTAAAATTGTTAATTGGCGCACATAAAGAGACTGTTTGACTAAGCAACTAAAATTTGTTCATTTTCAGAAGCATTTTCTTTAAAATAGCTTTCCAAAAAAGTATTTCGGGAGAAACACAATGTGTTTGACAAGTAGTTCATTTTAAAAGTGTTTTTTCAGTATTTGATAAGCAAATCGTATAAGGCTAATAGTTATTTGTTAAAAAAAAACTTTTGAGCGTCAAATTACAAAAAAGGCCAAGTATCGATGCACATTTATAATTAAGATATTCTATAGAGAAAAAATATTTTAAGTATCAACAATCAAAGACTGATAAGACTTGTACTATTATTTAATTAAAATAAAAATACATATTAAAATTTTCAATCAATATAGTACATATAGATAAATCAATGAAAACATTAAATATTAGTATAATGTTAACATGCTAATATACTAAGAAACATTAACCAATATATATTAAAAAATCATTCCTCAAATTAAATCATCATATATGGAGTATTTACCACAAACTAAGTAAAATCATTCACACAACGAAAATTCACTACGCTATATGAAGCATATTAGTAATTATTAATATTACTCATTTTAACAAAGAGATAAATAAAAGACAGAGAAAACTCTTACATGAAATGCATGGATACTAATATTAAGAGTCAAAAGGAAATGAGATATTCTAAAACTAGTCATTGCTTTCTTCTATTTTTATTTCTAAAAGTAAAGGAAATGGTTTAATAACTTAATGAGGGGATATGCTTGATAAGTATGTATTTGTTGAAGTGTGTGACCATCTCATCTAAAAACTTAAGTTCTTAAAGAGAGCACACTTTTATTAGTTAATGATACTCTCAACACATCCCCTCACGTGCAGACCTATCTCTTTTTCATGGGCCAATCACATGGAAATCCTTTTTAAATTTGGGTGGTATTCGATATCAGGTTTTCTGCCTGCTCTGATACTATGTAAAAGTGTGTGACCATCTCATCTAAAAGCTCAAGTTGTTAGAGAGAGCACACTTTTATTAGTTAATGATATTCTCAAGAGTATTGATGGTAGGGATATTTTTCTACTTCCACCTTTTTCAAGAACGTGGAAATTTTAGCTTCCTTCCAACAATAGAAAAATTGATTTTGCTGCTACTCAAAAGCACTTTTACTTATTGGACGAACACATCAAATTTTGAAGAAAGTGCTTTTGAGCTCCAAGAAACTTGCCCAGATAGGCACTAATTCATTCAAGTAACTCATCATACCAAGATAATAGTTAAACCATGAATCCTGTACTTGGTTATTCAAAAATGAGTTTTTATCAGATCCTAGTTCACTATACACACGCTTAAAGTAGGAAAAAAATTACTGAAGATAGTGCAGCTCTAGGAGAAAATTAAAGAGTTTTGGGTTTACCGGTTCAAATCTAGCTTTTGTTTTTCTTTTCTTTCTTTTAAATTTAAGTTTGTAGCAAATCTGGCGCCCAAAGTTTTTCAACCCATACTTACTGCACATTGACAAACCTAGGAAACTAACACCGAAAGACAGGAACTTACTAGTATAGCATACTTAATTTATTAAATGTATCGTAGAAATCCATATGTTAATATTATTAGATAGCAAACAACCTTTTTCTACTGATAGCAAACATAGAATTCTTTAAGTAAATCCACATAGAACGATCACATTTAGAGCTTACTTCTGTAATGACCCGGAAGGTCATTTTTGATTTTATTTTTTTTTTTATAAAATTACCATTTTACCCCTCCTGAAAGTTACCCCAGGTCATTTCTGATCAGTTTGCAGAGTTGGATTTGTAAATTGATTGGAAAGTAATGATTTTTGAGCTGCGGAACTAACAAGTCTATTAGAAAGTTGAATCAGCCACTTTTACATGGATTTTTGGAAGTTTTGAGTTTGAAAGACTCAAGTTGTTTAAAAATGGTTTTGGACCAAGTTGCTAGGACTCTCCAAAAATGTAGCTGCACTCGTGTTGGATCCTTCAAAAATACACTATTTTTGGAGGATCCGACACACACCCGTCGACATTTTTGAAGAGTCCGAGCAACATAGTTTTTGGTAGCAATCAGAGTTTCGAACCTTGTAATGGAATTCTGTCAGTTCCATCCGTTTCGAAATGTGAAATTTGGACTAGGAGAGTTGTCATTTTCAAATTTAGAGGGGTTCCGTGGATTTGAGGTCCTAAGTTGGAAATTGATGTAATTTTATGCCTTGAGTTTACTTTAGTCAACATTCGGAGTTCGAATGCTCAGATCGAATTTTCAGCAATTCCATCGAATTTGGGGGATGATTTTAGGCCTAAGAGAGGTCTCAGTTGAATTTTCAAAGGTTTCGAGCTTAGTTTGGTCTTTTTAGGCGTTATGTTAATTTATTGCAACTTTCACGAGTTTCATGTCAAGAAGACCTTGGATTTGTGTTTTGATGGTTCCATTAAGTTCGGAACAGCGAGTTTAGTTGGGTAACAAATTTGGTTTGTGTACGAGATTCCGAACGAATTCCTAAGGTCCTTCCGGAGACTTGTGTGTTGGTTGATTTTCTTACGTCTGATGTCTGTTGTGCCTTGCGTTAGCAAAGACTTGACCACGTCTGCGAAGGGTCGAGTCGCGTTCGCGAAGGGTCATTTTATCTAGTGGTCGTGTTCATGACTAGGGATTGTGTTTGCGAACCTGAGTTCGCGTTTGCGAGGACCCCTGGCAATGTGTTTTTTCAAAATGATGGAATTTCTTCCCTTTTTCTCCAATTTTGAACCCTAGAAACTTGACTTAGGCGATTTCAAGGAGGATTTTCAAGAAACTTCAATTGGGTAACATATTTCAACTCTCCCCCTTTATTATGCCTTGATTATGTAAAGATTTTTCCACCTAATTATTGATTTGGGTTCAAACTTAGGGGGATTTTTCAAGAACTTGAGTTTTGGGGGAAAATGGGGGTTTGTGAATGATTTCAACTCCATTTTCAAAATGGTTTTTACCAATGACTTCTAAATTCTTTGGGTAGCGTTTTCATGTATAAGTTTCCAGATTTAACATTCGTTTTTATGAATCGGGTTTTTGGGTCAATTTGACTCTTTTTTCCAAAATGTTTGATACGAGTATTGATAGACTTGAAATCTTATTGTGATAACTTATTTAATTAGATTGCATTGATTTGGATACCGTTCAGAAGAAAAAAGTTCAAGTGCCAGAGTGATTGTGTGATTTTCTTAAGGCAAGCAGACTTCTTGTTTTTCTTAAGAGTTTTGAACCTTGTATGCTTTGATATGATTGGGAGAAATGGGAATTGGTGAAGGGATTCATGTAAGAATTTCATATTGTAAATTGATGACGTGAACTTGCTAAACAACTTGGGTTAAAACAAGAATCTTGTTATGTGTGACTTCATTTTGTTGTGGGCAATTGGCCGAATGAGATTACTCACTTGATGACATGCTTTATTTGATTGTAATTAGATATTGGTGTTGAATTATCATCCTCATATTTGATCATTGCACTATTATGTTTGCATTGATGTTGTACCATTGTTGTGATGAATTGGTGAGGATGAAAGGAAATAGAAATCGGGCCACACATCCATGGAGGAATTATTGAGTGGAAATAAGGAACGCGCCACACATTCGTGTCGGATTCATTGAGATGAAATTGGGATCGGGCCACACGCCCGTGGCAGATGCATGGACTAAGAAGTTCCCCATGGATCCCGAACAAAGAGACAGTGGGTGTGTGTCGTTAGGACAGACATGCATCACTCTATATGACATTGCACATCGTTGCATTGCACTTCATTTGATTATAACCATTGTGTTGATGGACTTCTCGTGTTGAGGTGCAAATTGAATTATTCCTTAGGGGCTTTGTGATGTGGAGTGTTGTGGCGGAGCCAAGATTTTCAATAAGGGGGTTCAAAATCTGAAAAAATAAACACACGAAGTAGTCGAAAGGGGTTCGACATCTACTATATATACCTAAAAAATTATTTTAACCATGTATAAATCATACAATTTTCCGCCGAAGGGGGTTCGGATGAAACCCCTAATTGTAAGGTGGCTCCGCCACTGGTGGAGTGAGAAATGTTTAGGTTAGGTTGTTTGATTATTGCAGGTTGTAGTTATGGAGGTTCAGATGGAGTAGTTGGAGTACTTGTGTTCAATAATGCTTTACTTTGGGTCAGTTGTGTACTTGTTGAGTATCGTGTTGATTGGTACTCACCCCCTGCTTCAACACTTGTGTAGGTTACGAGTCAGGATCTTCGCGATTACCCTTCCCCTTTATCTTGTCCGAGGCTTTACTATGGAGACTTGAGAGGTAGTTGTTTGTCATCTCAGTGGCCCTCTTATTCCTTTCTTATGTTCTTGTTCTACTCGAGAAACAATGACATAGAGACTTTGTATTTTTCTTCATCCTATTTTAATACATTAGAGGCTAGTACACATATCAACCAGCTTTTGAGGGCATTTATGAGTTTGACTAAGTTATCTGTAGTTATGTTTTGATCATTTACTTTCCGCATTTCTATCGTTAGGTTTCAAATTTTAGGCCGACTCTTGGTGGGATAAGACGAGTGCCATCACACACCCATTTTTGGGTCGCGACAACTTCAGTCCATGTTTCTTTACTTTGTCAATTGAAGTTTAATTTCTAACACTTGTTTTCTTTTTTGTAGCAGACTTTTATAATAAAGTAGTAGTTTACTATAGTACAAGTACAAAAGCAAAATTAAAAAGATAACAAAATCTGGAAGTTATGAAATGAATTCAGGGTTTACAAGATTAGATCCAGCTTTCATTTGTGTTCTGATTTTTTTTCAATTGAGTTATGTCCAATTTAATGCACCAAGATCCATTACCCGGTACTACTCTTTTAACAATCCTACTGAGAGAGAATTTGATTCTAAATTTCATAAGTGAAAGGGACCTTCTTGATATTAGGCATTTGAAATCAGTTGTGATAAAATAATATACCAAGGAATAGTTAGAATAGCAAGTGATCATATTACAAGCACAACAATTTGACTCCTTTTTCCAAGTCCTCAATTTCTATTATGAAGTCGGAGCTTATTTAAATTATACTTTGTTATCCTGTGCTAAAACAAATTTCTTAAAACTAGCACATTATTTTTATTTTTATTTTATAACCGAGAAATCCGTCTGTGACCCGCCCTTTGGACCAATCACAGCCTTCTAAACTCGGTGGATAATGCGCCCGTCCCTCTACCCTTCTCCACTTAAATACCAGGCTTCACTTTGCATGGTGTGGGGCATGAACCTACGACCTAAGCCACAAATCCTCCACCTTTTGCCGCTTGAGCTAGGCCTTGGGGGATAAAACTAGCACATTATAGAACATCAGAAGTCCTGTTCCATGGACTTCAGATAGCATAAACATCACCCAATAAAACTGTTCTGAATTTTTCTCCATCACATCTTAACTATCCCGTGACCATAACATATCCAAACCCTTAGGCCTTAACCAGGGTTAGAGCTTCTACCCGATGCATTTCAAATTGTTCCTAGATAGCAGGTTCAAAGAAGAATCTACCTTTATTAGGAATTGAGATAAAACCAGCTCAAACTCAGATTACCAAAAACCAATCACAAGAACGAAATACAATCCACCAAATACTTTAAAAAACAATATTAAATCCCAACACAAACCAGCCATGCAATATTTCTCAAAAAAAAATTATTCAGAGAGATTCTCCCCAAAACTGAAGAAAAAACAAATAGAAATGCCATACGATTATGAACAGTCAATTCTTTCCATTAATGAACAGACATTGCGACCACAAACTACTAAATGGAGCTTAATTCATCTAAAAAGCAGTTTAGAGTGGTCTGTCCAGCAGCCCTAACCGCTTCAATATCACAAGGCGAGGATTGAGAATAAGATGCTTCTAAACCGTTCTATATTGCTAAGAAGAAGAAACAGGTAATTTTGAAATTAGAAAAGAACAAAAATGCAACGGAAATCTTGTACATCCATGTATATTGAGCTTGTACCAACAGACAAAAGAAAAGGAAATAGTGACCATAAATACTAACACGACCATACTATCATCCAATTACATAAGTAATGTTCATAATAAAGATCAATCACACAGAATTAGCACATAGTTCCAGGTCAATGAAATTAAAAGGCTTCTGCCATAGCAGATGTGGCAAGAAATTAGATTGAAGTTCTTTACTTCTCAAGTAGAGTTTGTAAAGCATCTTCAAATTTTTTTGAGGAAAAAAGTCAACCAACTTCTTTTTACCTATTTTAAACCTAGGCAACTTAAAAGTCTGCTATCAGTGAATAGAAGTGTATGATTCAAATCACAGTTGAAGCATGACTTCATAAATACATCCATGGAATGGCAGTTGAAAGGTAAAACTGTTAACCTGAGGTATCAACAATCTTCTAGGAATAAGCTCCTCATGACGCCGTGCACAAAATTCCCAAGAAACTATCTGCCAAGTAGATACAAAAGGAATTCAGATCAAACGAATTATAGCATTAATATGCACCATGCTAGGTCTCAACTGTCCATGAATAAACACTTCACTGAATATTAAACTATCAGTTCTTCCTTTAACCTTCAAATCAGGTTGTGAAAACACTAGACGAAGCTGACCATCACGGACAACACGAAGTTGCTCAAAGACACTCTCCTGAATCGCTTTTGCATAATCTAGGACTATTTGCCCAGATGAATTCTGATATTCACGGGGCATATCAATATAGAGAAGTTCTTCCAAAGTGCCACTTTCATACTTTATCTTGAAAAGCCTGGGCAAAACCTCAGCAGTCGCTTCTGAGAAAAAATGAGTTGAGATATATCAGATGCTGAAACAGAATTTATCAGCTGAGAGGAAAACCAAATAAATAAAGATGAAGTAATTAAAGAATGGGTTTTGTTAAGCCATAAAGTTTGTTAACTGCTTCTCGGACCAAAAATTAATTCAAGAGCTTGATGCTGCAAAGAACATACCGAACCCACGGCCTGGCTTCCGGCTGCATATTTCGCAGTGCCACACATCCTGCAAATTACACAATATAAATCAAAGATATAAACTCATTTGTTAACAGTTGTTCTACAGCTAATCAGCAGCATTTATAGAACAAGCTCTAAAAGAAGTATCTCAGATAAAAAATATATCTATGCTGTAATAGGATACTAAGCTTGTACCATGAAAGTTATTACAACTCCATTTTCATTTGATGGGAGCATATAAACAATACAAAAACAAAAAATGTAAATAACTTCCACATAAGCAGTGAACCTGAGGAAAAACTCCAGTAGTCTGCCGACCACTTCCATACATAGATACACACCATTTTTTCTTGGCATTGGGAGCGAAATACTCAGCAACAAATTTCCTCCAGAACTCAATGTTATTGTCCTATAAAGAAGGAAGAGCAATTTGTTAGGGAAAAAATTGATATCATATTTTCTTTTTCATTATCTGGGAAAGCTGCAGGGTAGGGTGTAGTGCATAGATGCCACACAATGATATAGTTGACCAATTCTTCTTACTTCAGGTCTATGTTGCTGCTGATACATATAATGAGTCAGCTGACGGGCACACATCCCGGGCTCATATACTGGCTTTACAGGAGGTCTGACAGCAAGATTCTGTGATTGAAATTGTTGTTGTAATGGGTTTCGTTGTTGAGGGGAAGTCTTCAAGAGTTGATGATGATGCTGGAACTGCATTAGCCTCTGCTGATGCAAAAGCTGTGCAGCAGCAGCAGCTTGAGGGGACTGCCTGGACATCTGAAGGAACTGCTGCTGCTGTTGCTGATGTAGAAATAAAGATGGGTCAGATTGTTGTTGTTCTACTTTGACAGGCGCAAGACCTCTCATATTTTGAATCTGTTGTGGTTCCATTTTTACAGGTGCCAAGTTTCTCAGAGCTTGCAACTGCTGCGGTGTTTGATCATTAGTCACCTCTGTTTCCATTTTGACAGGTGCCACACCTCCTAATCCACCACGCATGGATTGAAATTGATGCTGCTGTTGCTGTGTTTGGGAATTGATAGGGGAAGAAAACTGCTGCAACTGTTGATTATGTTGAAAATTCTGGGAATCAAACTGTTGGGATCGTTGTTGGTCAGCCAACATGTGGTTACCGGAGGGGTTAGGAAACTGCTGTCCTTGAACTTGACTGCTATTTGGATTTGTTGCCATGGCTGATGACATAAATGACGTTGAAGGAGCACTAAAACCGATCCCATTTCCTACACCAGAAAGTGGGTCAGTCTCGGCCCCATTATCAACAGGACCACGCTGAGAACTTCCTGGTCCAGCCAGCCCTGCATTAGGACCTCCATTTGCAAAAGACTGATGTGAAACATTGGGAGCATTCCCTAGCATATTCATATTCCCAAACATCGTCCGAGGAGAAACCATAGAAGGGAAACAACCTGGTGAAGGCATTGACCCCCCTTGACCACCCATTACACCGGAATTTGTTCGCAGTAATGAAGAAGGTACTGACTGGGAACCTCCACGTGGATTAGGAGGCCCTGTTGGAACCATTTTTCACCAAGAAGCACACAGTCTACCAACACTTGAGCAAATATAGAAACTTCCTAAAATTGCATAAAAGCCTCAAGTGAGTACAGAAAATTCATAAAATGGCATCAAAGCCCCCCACTAAGCTCAAGAAATTTCAATTGCTCTGAAGAAAAAACTAGGCGGGGAACCAAGCAAAACCAACAATATCATTCCATTTTTTATCCAAAAGATGGAAGCTTGTCTCTGAAACCACTAAACCAGACTTCTTTCCGCTCAAATAACTGTCTTTTGCTGCATCATCCACTGCAATAGTTATTCAATTTTGTGTCAATTTATCCCTCCCTTCCGATAAAGATAGATTTACCCTACCCAACCTTACTTGAAATCGTCTAATCAGAAATCAAACTTCATTCCTATCCCTTTTAGAAAAACATCCGTCAGAGAATATTACCCAAAAACACCCAAATTTTCAAACTCGGAAAATGAAAGAAGCTTGATTGAACACTAAACAAAAAAGAAAAAAGAACAAAGCAGGAAACTTATACAATCATATGAACACTTGATCAAGCCCTAAATCTCGCAATAAATGATAAAAATGAGCAACCTGCAGCCAGCTTTAGAAAACAAAAAGACAATTTCAACAGCGACTCACCGCAGATTGAGTATATTCCATACACGGAACTACAAGCACAAAGAACACACAAATTGTAGCGTCACCTTCTTTGAACTTCACTGTGCTTCCTTTCAGTAGATAGATTCAGCTTCTTAGCTGTATATTTTGTTTAGAGAGAGAAAGTGTGTTTACGGACGTCAAAATTGTATTCAATCGGAATGAATTTTCTTCTTTATTTCTTCTTCTCTTTACTAATAAAATTTTCTCTTTTCTCAATCAATCAAAACGAAGTCAAATCTCTTCTCTTTTTTCTTTTTCTTTTTTTTTCTTTACACATGCATGTGGACGGATCGATGATGGATATTTTATTTTATGGGACTGTTATACATACATTGTTCTGCTTTGTAATTGACATTTGATATCGACAATATTTACAAAGTACCCTCCTAATATTTATATTTCTATAAAACGCCACGTAAAGCGAAAGAATAAATGGGTGGACGTTTATTTATCCTTATTTGTCAAAAAGTTTACTTTAAGATTGTAATTTGAACTCAATTTATGAACATTTAAAGAGGTTCTCCTCTGAACTCTTTATTTTATACTACATGCATTCTTTTCATTACATTAACTTCGTCAGACCTCAGATTTTGAACTTTCGAGATTCAAACTATATAAATTAAGAATCGCGAATGATAGGTTTCTGCTACTCCATTGTCGATGATCTCTCTGGAGCTCATGGAGTTGCCGGCAGTAGAGACCAGAATATGTTGCCGACAAGTTTTCTTCATGACTAGTATCCTTGCAATAGCAGCTCTCTCCTCGCAGTTCAATAAAAGAAAAACACTGACTCCAGAAAGCCAATAACAAGTTAAAGATGATGGCAACAAGAGTAAAGTAGGACGGCCTCATCACTGGTTTAATTTTTTCCAGCAAAAAACATGAGCAACTGGCTCTTTCTACTTTGTAAAGCAATTAGAACAAACATCTGTGGGTTAAAATCAAGCCAGCAATTCCTAATCAACAGGCTAATAGAAATACTTCAAATTATGCCCCTATGAAAATTCCAGTGCTTAAAATCAAATTCCTTCAGATACAACTTCATACTAATGGATTTACTTTAATTCCACCAAGCCTCATCCTAATTTTTTTCCCCCTGTCAAGCCACTCCAAATAAGCCTAACAGAAAGACAAGTAGGAAGGAGAGAGGAAATGATGATTGCACCGGTGCCAATTATAGAAGCTACTGAAAGCTCTACAACAGAACCCCAACTATATACAACCGCATGCTCTGGAGTGGTGTGGAGATGCAGCACGATAGGGGCAATAGATCAGCCCATACATAGTTAACAAATGCCTCCGCATGGTATAAACAGATTGAATGTAGCGGTCCATTAGCCAAGTCGTTCCCTGAATGTCCCATTAAAGGAGCAGCTATGACAAACCAGGCAAAATCAAGTTAGAAGAGAGTGCACTCTCGGATGAGATAACATTTCAGCTGTTAAGATGCCACACTATACGTTGTCCTTCCCACTCAAATCAGTACAGAAGGGGAAATCTTTGAAACCACTTCTGCTTCAGCAACCATGGCTACTCTTATCATGAGAGGCAAACTCATATAACGATCTTTGCAACACAAGCAGCAGAACATAGACTAATAATTGCCAACCTGAACCTTTTTAAGGAGATGTTTTCCAGTCAAACTGCAGGTTGTTAAAACCGTTGACTGCTTCTAAACCACTTAGCAGTTGGTTTCCCAGATCTTGTTGCTGTTGACTCATATTACGTTCTCTCACCATTGTCATGCCCACTAACCCATTCATGGCTGAAGGGTTATTACCCAATGCAGCACGCATTCCATTAGCCATTGCAGCTTGGCCCAGTCCATTGTTCATACTCCCAAATCCAGAACCAACACCTGTACTGTTAGCATTGGCTGTCCCATTCCTAACAAGGCAATTGCTTCCATTGAGAAGGGAATTATTACTTGTTGCCAACATCCCATGTCCATTTTTTATATCATTCCCAATAGTACCATTACCTACCATGCCACCGCCACCGAGCTGTGAAGACATCATCATTTCATGTATGATCTTTTGTACAGAACTCTGAGAGTCATTAGCATCCACGTCGCTTGAATGGGCTGGTTGCTGCATTGTGATTTTTGGGGAATTTGCAGAGTTCATGTGTTGCACTGATGATAAGCCACTGTGTGAAGCTTGTGGTGGATTGTTGGATGATGATGGTGTTGGAGACTGGAATTGAGAAGAGTTGGGTTGAGACTGAGGCATTGTACTTGAAGAATTAGGTGAAGGCATTTGGACAGCATTTCCTGAGTAGGTACTACTTCCACCATTCACTGGATTTTGTTGCCTGGAGTTCATGGAATTTTGGTGCAGTAATCCAACAACAGTACCACTAGACGAAGTAGCAGGTACTTGGTTCACAGAATTGTTTACATTCAACATACCATTGCTTAAAGGTAGAGGCGGTACACCAGGCTGTGAAGTCGTCTCATGGTTTGAGCTACTGACTGTTTGATGTGTATGTTGCTGCTGCTGTTGTTGCTGCTGCTGCTGTTGTTGCTGCTGCTGCTGCTGAGTCTGATCCTCAGTTGATTGAACTGGACCTTGTACTCCAGCTGAAGAACCGTTCCTACGAGGAAACTTAGCCAAGCTCTCTGGAAAATTAAGAGTTGGGCACAATGTGAACAGTAAGAATAATGTTAAACATAAACGCCAGGACAGATCATCAATACTAGATGAAAATTAAAAAAAAAAGTTCATCAAGCTCAAGTTGAATATCTACTCCAAATTATCAATTTAGCGCACACAAAAATGGCCCACTCACATACGCATCACAGGTAGAGAGGATAACACTGGGCCAGACATAAAAACTGATTAATGATAAGTTGAGCTCCCACTCATTTACCCCACAAATTGAATTTTGGTAGATTACCACTTGAACTTCATGAATGTTGGGGAAACACTTGACCACTTACCCGGTCTCCTGGGACTTAAATACCACAGCAAACTCCAGAGCACAAAGAGGTAGCACTAAGATATAAAACACCAAATCCTCATTATCGAAAAAAGACTAAACACCAAATCCAGAATGCCACTAGGAAAAGTGATATATTTCGGGGCAAAAGAGGGAATTGATAAGAAATTCAGGGGGAAAACTATGCAACTGGATCAATGAGCATCAGCGAGAAAATTAACGATACATTATGTCCAATATGAAAGTGAGCCTTAGTTTGCAAGAGTTGAGTGTCCTACTCTCTAGTCCCCAACATTCATGCATATTGCGTGGCTCTAGTTATTACATGACAGTTATATTACCAACAAAGTTGACTAACGATGCAGCGGAATCTGCTTTGTCCCATGGGTTCTCTACTCAAACATGATGGTTTCTATTTTCCATCCGCAAAGCAATTTCATGGTATGAGCAAAATTTACTTCAAAAGGCAATCTTCTTTCTTTTGCGCCCCCCACCCCCACCCCCCACCCCAATTTGCTCTCTTATTTTTTTTCTTTTTTTTTTGGTTTGACTAAGAAATCCGTTGTTTCAGCTTAGAAATTCAGGATAATGATCCTAATGCTCTCTATATAAGTGTCATTCTTTACTTATTAAAAGAAGTGATAGAATAGGAATAGGTTTATAAAATCCTATTTAGAATACGAATAGGAATAGTAATAGAAATAGTAAATAGTATCCTACTTGGTAAAGGATTATATTGTAGTGTCTATAAATAGGGTCTCTATGTAATAATGTAGATACACAATTTCAATAATATTCTTCTCCAATACAATCCTCACAAGAAGATAATGGGCCTAATTCTCTACACTTCACCTAGAACCAAACTTGGAGCAACAACAGCGTAGCACACATTTCCCATTGAACCAAATTCCTGGGACACCTTTAAATAACAATCAGATGCCTCTTTGTGAAATACATTATTATCTATACAACACTAGCTCGATACTGTCTCGAAAAACGTACAATTCTTAGAATCTATGTAGGCTTAGCGAAAATAGGTCACAACGGAAGGAAAAAACACCTTATAGAGAAAATATCAATTAGTTGGCAATATGCCATGTTAGTAGCTTCTTTAGTTCCGCTATTTCCTTTTCCTTGAGCCAAGGGTATATCGGAAACAGCCTCTCTACATCCCAAGGTAGGGGGGTTGAGGTCTGTGTTTGCTCTATCCTCCCCGGACCCCACTTGTGAAATTACACTAGGTATTTTGTTGTCGTTGTATGCAACACTAACTCACAGGAAAACAACCCCATCTATCCTCCTATGTTAGTGAGTCATTAGTTTGTCACAAGGTCAGTAAATTTGAACTGTGATGTAAGGAACTAATAGAAAGGTTAAGTAGGTTGAACTTACCCATGGGTCCGGTCCCTGTCTCCCTGCTATAGTCAATCAAATCTTTCATGCTATTTACCACTTCCGATATCTGCAATCCACCAAGAACACAACACATCCATAGTTGATCACACAAGCAAAACATCATTTGACCAGATGTTATCACACAAAAGCAACTTTATATTTGGTTTCAAAATTAATGATTATAAAACATTTAAGAAATAAATAAACTGAATTAGAAGAACCTAAAACCAAAAGACCTTGACTTCCTGCTAGAACAAGCATTTTCAAACGAAGTCAATTTCTGAAGGAAAGACAAGAATTACCAACAGTAGGAAAACATTACACCACATATTTGTATCCAAGAGAAAAGCTGAAGCATTATACATGAGTTAATTACACATATTATTAAAAGGAATTTTCAAATCCACAACATTAACAACCATCTCTAACCTGCTGACTGTTAAAAGAATTGAATTCATCTCTGTTTTCGAATCTGCTCTGAAAACAACAGGACGACATATGGAAAGAAATGAACTGAAGACAGGTCGACAGAACTGAGTGACTTTTGAATCAGACATAAAAAGAGAGATGCATAAGCTGGCCGAGACCCTTAATAACTAACTATTACAGTAGCTAAAATTCCAACAATCACATTTAGTGACTCAATAGATACACGAGGACTATTTCCACTACTGAAACAAAAACCTACACAAGGGACAGAAAAGAGGGGAAAGAGGAGTTCTCTATGTCAGAACAAGGTACATACCTGTAGGCATCTCACATATCTCTTTGTATATCCTAAATCATTTACTAACGGAACTTCCAAAGCTTTTGCTAGCTGACGAGCTGAAGCAACAAACC